GGATCATGGCTTCGGCTGCAACCACGATCCTGGTATAACCACTTGTTCCCGAGGGTGTACGGGTATGTCCTTGGGACAGGAATTGGTTCATGAACATAGACCTGCCTGGAGAGGTGAGAAGATATCTGGAAGTTTCACATGGACATAATTTTGCTCTTTTAAAATTACATAGAGATGTAGTAACAGCAGTTGGGAAAAGGAACCCTTCCAATCTGAGAGGCCTGGAGCAGTTGGTGAAAGAAGAGTGCTCCAAAATTCCAGAAGAGAGGTGGAAGGAACTCTGATGGTTACAGGAAGCCATTGATTTCAGTTATTTTTTCCGAGGGGTGTGCTACCAAATATTACATGGAAGGTGCAAATAATTTTGTCCAGTCCATTTTTTGGGTTTTGCGTGGAATGTGTCAGATTTGGCTTTTTGTTTCTCCACTTTTTGTGTCATACCAATACCAACAAAAGAAATAAACATGAAAATGCTGAAACATTTGTAATTGCAACAATTTTCTGGGCGAAGTAGTACATTATCTGATAGAAATGCAAAGGGGGGGGGGGGTGGCAAGAGTTTTGGCCATGACTGTATACGTAGACTGTACATTCATTACTCTCAATCGTAATCTGTTTTATCCTTTTAAAATAGGAGTACATTTTAGTTCAGAAGATATCTGATAAGCATGTGGGATCTAGCAGTCATCCAAATTTATGTGGACAATGGATCGAAAGCGAAAACCTCACAGTGGTGCCTCCATCTCAGTCCTTTATACCAAACAAAAACAATAAAAAGATTCTGGAAATTATCACCAAGATCATTGAGCTGCTGACGGGAGAGGTGAGCAGTTCTGGGGATTTGTGGGAAATGAATCAGTAGAGAGTCTTGATGGTGACGGTGTCATTGTGTGTGTCAGGTTCCTATAAGGTGTCAGGACGTCACTGTCTATTTCTCCATGGAGGAGTGGGAGTATATAGAAGGACACAAGGATCTCTACAAGGACATCATGATGGAGAACCGCCGCCCCTTACATCACTGGGTAAGAGGAGATTTTAATTTCTTGTATTGAGGATCCACCAAGATACACACATCCTCTGATATAAAGACATAGAAACCATAGAGGAGTGGGAGTATATAGAAGGACACAAGGATCTGTAGAAGAACGTCATGATGGAGGACCGGCCACCCCTCACATCACTGGGTAAGAGGAGATTTTAATTTCTTGTATTGAGGATCCACATAGATACACACATCCTCTGATATAAAGTCATAGAAACAATAGAGGAGTGGGTGCGTATATAAGGACACAAGGATCTCTACAAGGAAGTCATGATGGAGAACTGGCCGCCCCTCACATCACCAAATAAGAGGAGATTTTAATTTCTTGTAAAGGAAAGTCATGTTGAGGATCCATCTAGTATTTCAGGATCCATCTAGTAGGAGCTTTCAAGTCAAGCCGGGACTTCTGAGTTTATATAATAAAATCAAATTCAAGGAGTGGAAACTGCATTTATTTTTCTACATATTCCCCTGCTACATTTCTACACTTATCCCAGTGTTTAACTAAAGCCTGGAAAATTTCGGCATAGAAAGATTTGTCGGTACACCTGAACCATTCTAGGACAGCCGGCTTCACTTCATCATCATTGTGTTCACCATTCCCACAGAAAGGTTCATCTCTTGTGCGATTTCACGACACATTATGTGTCCGATGATCTTGGATCCGGCGTTCCATGTGCTGAATGTTCACAGTAATGACTGCTGTGGGCTGGGAACCACCACAGCCGGGATGGACGTATGGCCATCTTTGAAACGTGTCCACCATTCAAATGTCTTACTGCAGCTGAGCGTCTCATCACCGTATCGTGCTTGACGTCTTCTGTAGATATCTGCGGGTTTCACGCCTTCGTTCGCAAGAAGCTTCATCACCGCACACTGTTCCATGCACGCACTAACACTGTTGGCTGCCATCTTGATTAACGGTTTCTTCACTGCCCCTCGACATGTGTGCTGCCTATCAGTAATAGAGTTCAATTGCCACTTACTACTGTGTGTGGTACCACCACACTAGCATCCATTTTTACACCTGGAAAATTAAAGGTCCCGGTTTGACTTGAACGTCCCTCGTAGTTACACTCCTCCTTTGACAGGGGTGCCTAGAGATTTTGTATACTTTTTAAAAGGCTCCACGACTGAAAAAAAGTTGAAAAACACTAACCTAGATACACATCTTCTGATATAAAGACATAGAAACAATGTATTCAATCAGTGTGTGTGTTTCCTACAGATGGATCTAGTAATGGGAACCCACCAGAGAGATGCCCCCGTCCTCTGTATTCCCGGGACTCCACACAGGAACATCAGGAGATCCCTCAGGAGGATCAGGTAGATGGATCCAGTAATGGAAACCCACCAGAGAGATGTCCCCGTCCTCTGTATTCCTGGGACTCCACACAGGAACATCAGAAGATCCTTCAGGAGGATCAGGTAGATGGATCCAGTAATGGGAACCCACCAGAGAGATGTCCAAGTCCTCTGTATTTCTGGAATTCCACACAGAAACATCAGGAGATCCCTCAGGAGGATCAGGTAGTGGGAATTTAACTTTCGCATCCAATCCAGTCCATGAAGCCAGTAGTAATCCTATACTTTTGTTGGTTTCTCCAGGAAGAAAACCGAACGGAATACAAAATTGAAGTTTTAGATGAGGAATACCCATATGCCAGGGGTGATGAGATGTGGAAGGAGGAGGAAACTCCTTCAGAAATCAACACAGGTGAGTAATAAACACTATATTCAGAAAGGAGTCTCCGATTTTCCATCTTTTATCACTACAAGAACATACACTTGCCGGCCTCTTTATTAGGTCCACCTGTTCGATTGCTTGGTAACACAAACTGCTAATCAGCCAATCACATGGCAGCAACTCAATGCATTTAGGCATGTAGACGTGGTAAAGATGGCTTGCTGAAGTTCAAACCGAGCATCAGAATGGGGAAGAAAGGAGATTTAAGTGAGTTTAAATGTGGCATGGTTGTTGGTCTGAGTTTTTAAAAAACTGTTGATCTACTGGGATTTTCACGCACAGCCATCTCTAGGGTTTACAGAGAATGGTCTGAAAAAGAAAAAATATCCAGTGAGTGGCAGTTGTGTGGACAAAAATGCCTTGTTGAGGTCAGAGTAGACTGGATTGAGATGATAAAAAGGCAAAACTAACTCAAATAACCACTTGTTACAACCAAGGTAAGTAGAATACCATCTCTAAATGTACAACACGTCGAACCTCAAAGCAGATGGTCTACAGCAGCAGAAGACCACAACGGGTGCCACTCCTGTCACACCTGGTGACACTCCTGTAACAGAAGCTACAATTCGCACAGGCTCACCAAAATTGGACAATAAAAGATTGGAAAACATTGCGTGGTCTGATGAGTCTGGATTGCAGCTGCGACATTCAGATAGTAGGGTCAGAATTTGGCATAAACAACATGAAAGCATGGCTTCATCCTGCCTTGTATCAATGGTTCAGGCTGGTGGTGGTGGTGTCATGGTGTAGTGGATCCATCCTGCCTTATATCAAGGGTTCAGGCTGGTGGTGTCATGGTGTGGTGGATCCATCCTGCCTTGTATCAATGGTTCAGGCTGGTGGTGGTGGTGCCATGGTCTGGTGGATCCATCCTGCCTTGTATCAATGGTTCAGGCTGGTGGTGGTGGTGCCATGGTCTGGTGGATCCATCCTGCCTTGTATCAACAATTCAGGCTGGTGGTGGTGGTGGTGGTGGTGTCATGGTGTGTTGAATCCATCCTGCCTTGTATTAATGGTTCAGGCTGGTGGTGGTGGTGTCATGTTGTGGTGGATCCATCCTGCATTGTGGTGGTGGTGTCATGGTGTGGAGGATCCATCCTGCCTTGTATAAATGGTTCAGGCTGGTGGTGTCATGGTGTGGTGGATCCATCCTGCCTTGTATCAATGGTTCAAGCTGGTAGTGGTGGTGTCATGGTGTGGTGAATCCATCCTGCCTTGTATTAATGATTCAGGCTGGTGGTGGTGGTGTCATGTTGTGGTGGTGGTGTCATGGTGTGGAGGATCCATCCTGCCTTGTATCAACGGTTCAGGCTGGTGGTGTTATGGTGTGGTGGATCCATCCTACCTTGTATCAACGGTTCAGGCTGGTGGTGGTGGTGTGATGGTGTGGTGGATCCATCCTGCCTTGTATCAACTGTTCAGGCTGGTGGTGGTGGTGTCATGGTGTGGTGGATCCATCCTGCCTTGTATCAACGGTTCAGGCTGGTGGTGGTGGTGTTATGGTGTGGTGGATCCATCTTGCCTTGTATCAACGATTCAGGCTGGTGGTGTCAGGATGGGGGGGAGATTTTCTTGGCTCTAGCAAGGTGTACCTAATAAAGTGCCTGTTGAGTGTATTCTACCTCCTCCCTTCCTCTGTCAGTAGCCAGTAATGGGGAGACAGTATGCACCTCATGGGGGGGATGAGGAACCAATAGCCTCTATTAGAAGCTATCCAGGGCATGAGCAACCAGATCAGGAGCAGACTGGAAGATCTGGCCTCAGTCCACTAATGAGGGCAGGTGTGCACAGCAGAGACCCAAGTTGCAGTGCCAACGAATACATAGTCACCTAGATTGAGGTCTAGGTAGTGACTTTGCACCTCACAGAATAATTATATTTAAGATTTGCGTTGGCTTCCATTTTTTGTTCCCTACAGATGGACGATACAACAGAAGTCATATTATGTCTCCAGATGGTGAAGTAGAAGATGATGACCTCACTGACTCTTTAGGAGACAACCCCATTGACCCAAATCTGCATCCAGCAGGTCACTGTACAGATCTACTATCCAATTCCTCCTCGCCTGTGGAATGTTTTCAAGATCATTCCCACCCCAACACCCATACGTCTAATAAAGGAGGAGAAACATCTCTGTGCTCTGAGTGTGGGAAATGTACTGTGTATACATGTTCAGAATGCGGAAAGCGATTTCCTAGGAAATCGGCCCTTATGAGACATGAAAGAGTCCATAAGGGAGAGAAGCCCTTTTCATGTTCCGATTGCGGGAAATGTTTTGTCGATGGTCCGGATCTTGTACAGCACCAGAAAATTCACACTGACGACCGGCCGTATTCATGTTCAGAGTGCGGGAAAGGTTTTTAAGAGAAAATCGCATTTAGTTCAGCAGCAGACAGTCTACACTGGCGAGTACCCATATTCGTGTTCAGAATGTGGGAGGGGCTTCTCATTTAGATTTCATCTCATTGGACACGAAAAGACTCACACAGGGGAAAAGCCATGTACTTGTTCTGAATGTGGAAGGGGCTTTAAATATAAGTCAACTTTGTTCAAACATATGAGAGTCCACAAAAGTGACCCCCCCCCCCTTAGTGCTACGGTGAAAGGAGTTCAAAATAATAGCAGTGTGTTGAAAAACGTGAATAAAGCTCAAAATCCTTCTAATAGCTTTTATTTCCATACACATAAATGCATTGGGAACACTACACATTCTATTCCAAATCAAAACATGAAGAAAAATATATCAAATTTGTGTTGTTCCTCTAAAAAAATTGAAGAAAAGTGAATATTAGACTGTTCAAAAAAATAGCAGTGTTTGTATTCTTCTTTACAAACTCAAACATTCACTATATAAACTGAAAAATGTTTGAAGATTTTGCTTTCCTTTGAGTCAATTAATATTTAGTTGTATAAGCACTGTTTCTGAGAACTGCTGTACATCTGTGTTGCATGGAGTCAACCAACTTCTGGCACCTGTGAACAGGTATTCCAGCCCAGGATGATTGGACTACATTCTACAGTTCTTCTCTATTTCTTGGTTTTGCCTCAGAAACTGCATTTTTGATGTCACCCCACAAGTCTTCTATTGGATTAAGATCCGGGGATTGGGCTGGCCACTCCATAACGTCAATCTTGTTGGTCTGGAACCAAGATGTTGCACGTTTAATGGTGTGTTTGGGGTCTTTGTCTTGTTGGAACACCCATTTCAAGGTCATTTCCTCTTCAGCATAAGGCAGCATGACCTCTTCAAGTATTCTGATGTATTCAAACTGATCCATGATCCCTGGTATGCGATAAATAGGCCCAACACCGTAGTATGAGAAACATCCCCATATCATGATGCTTGCGCAACCATGCTTCACTGTCTTCACAGTGTACTATGGCTTGAATTCAGTGTTTGGGGGTCGTCTGACAAACTGTCTCCGGCCACTAGACCCAAAAAGAACAATCTTACTTTCATCAGTCCACAAAATGTTGCGCCATTTCTCTTTAGGCCAGTCAATGTGCTCTTTGGCAAATTGTAACCTCTTCAGCACACGTCTTTTTTTTTTCAACAGTGGGACTTTGCGGGGGCTTCTTGCAGATAGCTTGGCTTCACATAGGCGTCTTCTAATTGTAACAGTACTCACAGGTAACTTTAGACCTTCTTTGATCTTCCTGGAGCTGATTATTGGTTGAGTCCTTGCCATTTTGGCTATTCCTCTATCCATTCCAATGGTGGTTTTTCTCTTTCTTCCACGTCTTTCAGGTTTTGGTTGCCATTTTAAAGCATTTGTGATCATTTTAGCTGAGCAGCCTATCATTTTCTGCACTTCTTTATATGTTTTCCCCTCTCCAATCAACTTTTTAATCAAGGTACGCTGTTCTTCTAAACAATGTCTGGAACGACCCATTTTCCTCAGAATTTCAGAGAGAAATGCACTGTAACCAGCATGTACAACATTTGCTGCCTTCCTTCCTTAAATAAGGGCAATAATTGCCACCTGTTTTTCAAAGAATGAATGACCTCACTAATAGAACTCCACACTGCTATTATTTTGAACATACCCCTTTCAATTAGTGATTCAATTACACAGAATCAGCAGCATGCATGTCATGACTGTTGGGTCTGTTGCATTTCTATTACTCTACTACACCTGCTAGTAAATTATTTGCCATGTAGAAATATCATTTCTACCAAAAACAGTGATTGATCAGGTTAGTGATGTCTGACTGCTATTATTTTGAACACAACTGTATGTTTGTATATATATATATATATATATATGTTGAAATGCGTCATTATTACAAACTATATGAAAAATATTTTAAAAAAAATACATTTCAAATATACTGTATGCCTTTAAAAATACAAATCTCCATTTTTGGAATGCATTTACAAATATATGTAAAAATATTTACTTTTTTATATGTTAAAAATTACTTTTTTATATGTTAAAAAAAATCTGAAGAAATATAATTTAAAAAAAAAATTTTTTCTAAATATATATTTTTTAAATATATTCTTCAGGTTTTTTTTTTAACATATACAAAAGTAATTTTAACCTATTTTTACATATATTTGTTAATGCATTCCAAAAATGTAGATTTGTATTTTTAAAGACATACAGTATATTTGAAATTAATTTTTAAAAATATTTTTCATATATTTTGTAATAAAAATTCATTTCAACATGCAGTATATAGATATATAGATGGAGATATATATATTTATTTATTGAAATATATTGAATATGGTGAAAATTGTAGCGTTTCAAATATATGGCAATATATTTGGGAAGAATATTTTTAAAATATATTTCAAATATATTTTTCTTCCATGTGGGTAAGCATGCACTAAATTCTTTACTTCCAAGAAGGAATCTGCAGCACCATACAGAACTTTCCTGTATTATCTCATTTGTCCACATGAACATTGACAATAAATTGACATGACTTGAATTCTTCAGCCCTATGATAAAAAATGCATGTTACCGTTTGATCACGCTGGTTCTGGTTTATTGCATTATAGTCAATGGAAAACAGGTGTCCTCCTTTCTTGTTTTTTTTCCTAGATTGTTAACCCCTTGGTGCCGGCATCTCCCGACCCTTTAAGAGGCTTGTGACGCTGGGAGGTGGGGTGGGGCTTAGGGTCATGTGACCACTGTGGTTGGATGTCACATGATTGGAAAGGTCCTGATCACAAGTAGCGATCAGGACCTTTCCATGAGGCACCGGCAAATGTGCCGGTGTGTGTGAAAATTACGTATGGTTTTGTGTGCAAATTTTATTTATTTTTTACACTCTCTTACATTTTTTTTTTTTGGTCACTTTTATTGCTATCACAATCTATTAGACCCCAGATCTCTCCTCTGCCCTTAAACACGTCTGATGAAACTGAGATCGGTTTGATCAGATGCTTTCACAAGCCAGTATTTGCCTGTTTACATCCTGGTTTAACTGGAAGTGACAAAATCCTTCACCTCTCTCGGTTTCTTATGATGTAGAGATCGGGGATGTTCCGGTCCTTGGTCATCTCTATGGTAAGCTGGCAGAGCTACCAGCTTCAGTCCCAGGCTCTCCCTGGTGGGACAGGAGAGCCCAGAAAGGCACCGGTAGGTGGCAGGAGGGAGTTCCTCCCACCATGCATAAAGGCAACCAGCAGCTACTTCGCCACTAGGATCACTTTTACATAAAAGTGCATCTCTGAAAGAAAAAAAAAATCCTGAGATGATGCCTGTAGCTGCAACCACTGAAAGTCAAGGACGTCACAAGACGTTCTACAGGCAGGAAGTGGTTTATTTATTACAGGTACTAATATAGCACCATCAATTTATAGTGCTTTATGTATATATTGTACATTCACATCAGTCTCTAACCCTCAAGGAGCGTACAATCTAAGGTCACTAACTCACATTCATAAATATTAGGGCCAATTTATATAGGATCCAATGTCCAGCGTGTCTTTGGAGTGTGGGAGGAACTTGGTGAAATCCCACACAGGCACAGGGAGAACATGCAAACTCCAGGCAGGTAGTGCCATGGTTGGGATTCGAAACAATGACCCTAGTGCTGCCAGGCAGAAGTGCTGTGTTAAGAGGTAACATCTCCTAGACGTGATATTTAGCAGTAGGTGTAGCCTGGTGGGCTGGCCTCATCCTACAGTATGTCTTGGACACACCAACAGTGAGATCCCCCACTAAATTACCGGACTCTGTTCCTGTCCTCTTGGGGGTTTTGGGTATTCCAGTCCATATTTGTGTGTTCCAGCTCCTCCTGTTTCATTCTCCATAGCAGCCATTCTCAACCAGGATTCTGTGGAACCCCAGGTTTTCTCCAGAGAAGAGTTTCTCAACTAGGGTTCCTCCAGAAGTTGCTAGGGGTTCCTTGAGTAATAAGCAATGTCTGCCTGTCAAATAAGTTCCCACTGACACCATTGATCTTTTTAGCTCTCCATAAGGGGGTGATTCTTCCCAATTATTATTATACAGGATTTATATAGCGCCAACAGTTTGCTCAGCGCTTTACAAAATTAGGGTAGACATTACAGTTACAATACAATTTGGTACAAGAGGAAAACAGAGGGCCCTGCTTGTTAGAGCTTATAATCTAGGTGACCACAAGTGTAAGGAGCATTCTTTCCAGTGGCCGTCACACTAATGTATCATGATTTGTAGATATAGTAATTTTTAGCAGGGGTTTCCTAAGACCTGAAAATAATTTCAAGGGTTCCTTTGTGTTTGAAAGGGTTAAGAAAGGCCACTCCAAAGGTTGCCAGGGGTTCCTCAAGCTGTGGCTGAAGGACCTCCCAGTTTATGGTTCCTGCATATTTCCAGGCCCATTGCCACTTGGTAAAGCCAGCTGCATGACACCAGTAATTGTTTTAGCTGTCTGTAAGGGGTGCATTATGATAACCACTGTACAAGAGCATTGCTCCTACTGGCTGCTGATGTAAGAGGCATTTGTCCCTTTGACCACCAATAAATTGGTTTTAGCAAGGGTTCGCCAAGACCTAAAAATTATTTCAAGATTTTCTCTGGGGAAGAAAAATGAGAAAAGCTGCTACATAATATAATATAAAGTCCAGGAGAGATGGTTAGAACCCCTCATAATGGGCACAGCAGGTGTACAGACTGAGGAACTTAGCACAGAGTTCTCAAGAGTCCCCAAGAGACATGCTGTCCATAGAAGACTTTTGACAAGGTTTTGCAGCATGTCTGTGGGAATGTGTGCCCATTAAGCCAAACGAGTATTGGGAGGTCAGGTACTGATTTTGGATGAGAAAAGCTGGCCTGTAATTGGTGTTCCAGTTTGTTCTGTTAGTCGATCCTGCTCAGATGCTCACACACTGTAGTTAACAGGAGACATTTTATTAGGTGCTTCTAGCTGCCATTATACATGTGTCTGCCCTAGAACTACAACCAAAGAGAGGCAATAACACAGTTGTACCAGTATCTAAGTAGTGAGACCCCTAGAGGCCATACACAGCATATAACATATTGCTACATCTTTTCTCTTTTAAATAAAAGAACAATGAAATATAACAAACACAAAATGGTGAAGTAGAACATAGCTATAAATTAGATATAATCCTTGAGGTGAGCTGGCTTTCTGATTGTTCTGCCAGCTCGCGTAACATATGAGGTTTCTTCACAGAAATCTTGGTGTTCTTCTGATTCTGGCAGTCTATTTTCTGGGACTGTCTCTCTCTGCCTAGAGACCTCCCTATGCTCCTCAGCAGTCCCTGTTTCTTTGTTGCTGGTATTCATAGTCTCATCGCTTTGAGTGTCCATATACTGTTCCCAG